GCCTGACTCATTATCATCCCATCAAATCCCATTTGCACATAAGAGCACTGACAGGGCGCCATATCGGGGTCAATCTCGCCACCGAAATTCTACAAGCAGGAGCCAGGAGAGATTGAAGAGGCACGATGAGCAATTCTCGCCATCCCGTCAATGCAAAAAAACTACTGTATCATGCTGTATCCAAGACATTCTTGCTCCTTCAGCATACCTCCAACTCCAAGACACTGTTTGTCCAGATTAATTGGTCATACATGCTACCTACAACAACCTACGCAAAACAGCTGTGTACGTAGCAGAAAACAATACTATAATTGTGTTTGAGTGACTTCGCTTCGCAGGTTGTACAGGCTGATCCAGAAGACAAGAAACGATATCCTGGTCAATACCGAAAATGGCACTACGAGGCCCAGAGAGCAACTTGTGGTCCTTCGAGTTTCCACCTCCAAGTTTGCAACTTTTGTGGAAACTCTATTTTTTGGTGGGGGTAGGCCGCTAGAGGTGAGGTAGGTTAGCTAGGGAGTCGGTAGCTAGTAGAAGCAAGGTGGGGAGTCGTTAGTAGATTAAGTAGCTACTACCGACAGGATGCAGGATAGCTCACGCTTCTTCCAGGAAGCTCCCCCTGTCGCCCTAAAGGTGGCGCGGGGGAGCTTCCTGCCTTGAATAAGCGCTCGCACTATTCATTTGATTCCTAGATTTTTAGGAAGCGTAAGCTATCGATGTGTCTTCAAGCGTGTCCAGAATGGGGTTCCAGAACAAGATCGGGGTCGACAATAGTAAATTCGGAGTGTTGAACTGCAGGGACTTGATTGTGAGACTTCAATAAATGAGCTGGGGGACGTTTCTCTTTTGTAAAGAAATTGTTGAACTGGAAGGAAGAGAACAGCAACTCATCGTCTCCTTTTGAGGTGATGCTTGCCTTTGAGCGTCTCTTGGTGACCTTTTAGTGACCTTGTAGACCCACTACTCATAGAAAGATCGCTTAAAACATCTGATCTTTAACTCTTTCTCATCTTTAAAAAAGCAATCGTGCCATTTTGTGACCAAGGTCCAGACCTTCAAGGTGAGGAGAGACCTATTGATGAGGCCCCCGAGCCAAAATTCAAACAGGAGGAGCCAAAAGCGCGGTGCTGTGATGGGGACAGAGAGTCTTGTATTCGTGTTGCTGCACTTTTTCAGTGGTTCTAAATATTTCAATGAAATGAGTGTGATATCGAGTCAAATTTAGTCTAGAGTCTAGGCAGAACCAATTCGGGAGGTTCGGAATTTTGAAACGTTTGGAGGATCCACGGTACCAGCGCTCTGGTGCTTGGAGATGTTCACTTTGCTATGACAGAAGGCCATGCAATTGAAGCATTTGCCAAGGTGACGACATGTCAGATCTTTGCCGAAAGTGTGATCTCTCACTCGAAGGTTTAAAACAATGGACTTCTCTCTGGTGCCAGCAGACAGCCTGGATTGGTGCTCTAAATGTGAAAAGTCACGAAAACAGTAACGATGCTGCAAGAAGAGGGGCACACATCAAGAGTCAGGGGGCAGGTTTTGATCATAGAACCAAGATGAACCAAGAGAAAATGTGGTATATAAGGAGTTTAACTGAGGTGTGGCTGGTCGCTGTGGATACCCTTTGCAGAGCTGCCACCGAAACGACAGGACCGCGTGTTGTTACTAGTAGCGATGCACTTGTTACTAATAGCTTCTTGTTACTACCAGTAAGGCACTTGTTACTAGTAGCGATGCACTTGTTACTAATAGCGTGTTGAGCGGACTTCAAAAATTCAAGTCTCAGATGCCTGTTCCCAGTGCAGCCCTGCGACACCTGAAGGCGGCGCTCATGGTACAGCATGCAAAGAAGATTGAAGCAGTGCTTTGGACCAAGTGGCCGCTTGGTCGCAAACGGATAAAATCACAGAGCAACATGCTAGTAGCTTTGCACCATCGAGTTCCGTAACAGTTGGAGCGCATCCTTTGCATCCCTGCAGCATCAGCTTCTGATGGAATCTTTGCGGCAGGCCAGAAGCAGAGATTGTAGAGACCACCGGAGCATCTCTTCCTGATTGCTAGGCTGTTGGCTTCTGGAGTTTGCTAGTGCTTGAAGAGGAAGAGCCAGTGTTCACACCACCATTGGGACTCCGAGATTAGTGTGCATTCTATTGCGGTGCGTTTCTAAATTTAAAGTTCTGCAGCAGCATATGTAAATATACAGATCACATAATTCAACTATTGACCTCTAGGCTTGTTGACAAGAGGACTCGAGTTGTCGTGTGAGGTGTTTGATTCGTGTATGTACTTGTACAGAGTGCTGAAGCAGACTGGCAGAACTAGAAGGGTTCAAAAGACACTGTCGACGATTGAAAGCTTGTGCAAGACTTCAATGCTTAGTTGGCTTGTCGTTGAGGAGTGAGAGATCTGGGATTTGGTTGGCATGCAAACTTTGGTTGTTCTTGGTGTAGATTTGGTGCCATTTTTATCCATTTTTATTCAGCAATTCGTTCTCGTTTTGCTTCCACCTTGGCCCCGAAACAGCAGTTGTTGCCTCAGCATCGTTTTTTTTTCAATATAGGTACGAAGCCTGGAATGAAGGATGAGACCACATATTTAGGACCAATTTCAACTCTTTGAAAAGGCTACTAGGAACAAGTGCATCGCTACTAGTAACAAGTGCCTTACTGGTAGTAACAA